TGGGGTGACTGGGTCACCCAACCTTGCTGCTCCCGGGTTTCCTTGGCGCAAAAACAGGAGCGCTCATGAGAGTGGTGGGCGCGTCCTCCTTGATAAGGGGACCGAATCGGCTGCTTTGAGGGGGAAGCTTTGTCAATGTGAAGGGCTGTTCGCATGTGCTGGCCCCGGAGATGCGGGCGCCGGCAGGTACAGCCATGGCCCACCAGCTCCCTGCACTCTGTGGATAGTGGGTGAGCACGGCAGCTGTGACCCGGGAGTCCCTGTATAGGAACGGCACTTCTCCTCAGTCCATTCTCTCCCTTGCCTGTTGATCGACTCTTTGATGGAGACTTTCCTTTCATTCTGGAGACTCTAAGCCTGGGGGTGGCACTCGGACCTGCTTCCTTCTGTGTTATCCTTTGGCCAAGACGTGACCAACTGCCATCCCAAGGTCTCCAGGCACAGGGAACACCAGGAACTAAAAACCCCTGGCTCTCCATTTAAGGCAGGATCCTGGGCGGGGCATAGTGGCTCACACCTGTAACCCCAGTACTTTGGAAGGCTGAGGTGAGAGGATTGCTTGAGACCAGCCTGGGCAACATAGCAAGACCTCATCTCTACACAAAATCAAAATATTAGCCAAGCATGGTGGTGCACACCTGTAGTCCCAGCTACTTAGGAGGCTGAGGCAGGAGGATCACTGCACTCCAGCCTGGGTGACAGAAGGACCACAACCCCCCCAAAAAAGATAGACTCCTGCTACAGACCCCTTCCTTCAGGGGGAGCCAAAGCCCACCGGGGCATGATTGCAGGAGTCCCAACCGATCAGCTCCCACAGAGGGAAGCAAGACTCAAGGCAGTACTTCCTCCTGCCTGTGCAGAAGATGGACAGAGCTGACAGCTCATTACCAGGCTGGGTCCAGGAACGAAGGCTGGACAGGCCGTGTGAGCATGGGGTCTCCCAGCCTGCAGGCCCAGGCTGCAGGCGTGTGGAGGCCCCCGGGGAGGAAGGGGCACAGAAATAGTCCTGACCTGCAGGGACCGCGTGGCACGGCGGCCCTTGGACCGGGTGGGCCGACGGGGGGCTGGCAGGCCCAGTGGCCAAAGTGATGTCAAGGGCATGACTAGGAGGCCGCCTGGACACGCTGGAGCCGCCGGCCAGAGCTCAGCACTTGGAGGACAGGGGCTGGCTAGGACCAGCATGTCGTCAGGCTCCTTCCATGGGCTTCAGGTGGTTGTCAGTGGGCACAGCCTGGCTGCCAGAGAGAAGGGCACGAGGGCGGCCGGGCCGGGGCTCCTGCGGCCCCAAGCCTGTGCCCTGGAGACCCCGCTGACCTTGGGGCTGCTCCCGTGCCCAGCCCAGCCTGAGCAAGACTGAGGCTTCCAGGGGCCAATTCAGGGCGAGGCGGTCCCCTGCCGGTGACCCGGGGGCCCCGTGTCCTCTCCTCACCGCTTTGGCTTTGGGCTTGGGGGCATCTCCACAGGGACTGGACCTTGGCGGAGGGGACGTATTCTAGAACGTAGTGTCCAAGTCACACCCCAAAATGATCATGATTAAAATATGACATGGACAATTCTGCCTGAGGTGAAATCGACATTTCTGAAGCCTCTTTAGAACACCCTGCTGTTCGTAATGGGTCTGTAGCATGCAGTTCGGGTAAAACTGTGCTTGGTCGGCAGAACCGCTCGAGACATTCATTCCCCAGGCCAGCTCTGGCCCGCCGGCAGCCCTGGGCCCTCCTGCGGGTTGCCTGCAGGCGCTGCTGCATGGGGACTCCGGCTCAGACCAGGAGGCCGCGCTGAGGCCCTCGGGGACCGGGAGGCATCGTGGTGGCAGGCGGGTGGCCTGGTGGCCCAGCCCTGTGTGTCCCGTTTCCAGGCGCCACCCTTAATTCACAGCCCCGGGGCAGCTCGCCTCTGAATTCCTCAGGAGAAGCTGGATGGTCTAGACTTTCTTAAAATGTGAAATCTTTCCATGTTCAAGTGCTGTCAATCAAGTAGGGAAGTGTTAAGCACCACGTGGGCCTCGCGAACGCCCCCGTGGTCTAGCTCGGCACCGGGGGCCGCCCCTGTGTGACCCCTAGCTTGACAAGGGCAAGGGTCATGTCCAGCCTCTTCCCCCGGAAAGAGTTTTCCTGAAGAAATTACCATCTTTCTGCTTCCCAAGGTGGCTCTCAAGGTGAGCTGTCTCTGCTCGTTGGAAATGCAAAGAAATAAATGTATAAAAATAGAGTGGCAATTCCTCAGCCCCTCTGTCAGGCGCAAGTCGCTGGTGCTTCCTCTGGGAACGGCACGGCTGGCCCTGAATCATCCCCGGGCAGCCGGGAGCACTCCTCAGCTGGCACCGGCCCTGCCCGGGGGGGGGGGCCGCCCTGTTCCCGTCGCTGGAGTGGCCCTTGGCAGCCCCTGCTGTGTGCATGCACATGCGTGTGTGTGCATGTGGGTGCATATTTGTGTGTGCATGTGTGTGCTTATGCATGTGCATGTGGGTGCATATTTGTGTGTGCATGTGTGTGCTTATGCATGCGTGCGTGTAGTTTGTGTGTGTGCGTGTGTGTGCACCAGGAGGGACCTGGGGCTGTACAGCTAGGGGAGACAAGGACCCGGGAGACACAAGGACACCTGCTCCACCCTGCCCCGTGTGCCCACTTTCCTGTCCAGGCCTTCCCCCCGCTGGGTACCCTCCTCTGTGTCCTCCGTGGCCTTGCCTTCCGCCACACTGCAGGTCTGTGCCTCCGCCCAGCGGCAGGTCTGTCGTGTCTGAGGCAGTCACAGGGTGTGAGGAGGGAGGTCCTGGCTGAGAGCCAGCCCGGGGTCTTGTGGGTCTCCCTGTGGGCTGCCACTCGCACAGAATGGCCTGCTGTCAGTACCAGGTGAGGAGCTGTGGGCTGGGCAGAGACGGCCGCGGGCCCCACACCAGGCTGCCCCGCTGCCTGTGAGCTGCGTGACTGCTGCCTTCAGAAGGCTGGTTTCGGCTGGTCTCGGTGGCTCAGCTTGTAATCCCGCGCCTCGGGAGACCGAGGTGAGTGAATTGCCTGAGTCCGCGGGTTCGAGACCCGCCTGGGCAACTTGGCGAGACCTCATCTCTACAATAAATCAAAAAATTAGCCAGGCGTTGTAGCGCGCGCCTGTAGTTCCAGCTACTTGGAAGCTGAGGCAGAAGGATCGCCAGAGCCCAGCAGGTCGAGGCTGCGGTGGCCAGGAGCGGCCACTGCACTTCAGTCTGGGCGACAGAGTGAGACTCCAACTCAAAAAAAAAAAAAGAAGCCTGATTTCACCTCCAGGGCCTGCCGTGACTACCCTGCTGCAGAGGGGGTGTCTGTCGTGTCTGGTGGAGCCACAGATGGGAGGCTTTGGGGACAAGGGCAAGAGCTGTCCTGGAAGACCCTCTGTGGACAGGCGGTGCAGGACAGCTGATCTGGGTTCTCAGTCGCCCACCCCCACTGCAGGGCCCCCTCTGGGCCTGGCCACCCCCAGGGCTGGTGATCACGGCGACCTGCGGCCCGGGTCCTTCCCAGGCCGGGTGTCTCTGAGGACCCGCCCAGGGAATGCCACAGAGGAGCAGGGACTGGGGACCTGGCCTGGACATGGAGACGGGCGTGAGGCAGGATTTCCAGAGCCTTGGCCTGGGGCTGGGCGGGCGGTGGGCAGTGCGGTCTGGGGCCTGCTGGACAGTGACTGTCAGCCTGTCCAGCCCCGCTGTGATGGGGGGCTGGGAGCTGGGCTGGGGTTCTGGTGGGCTCCAAGCCCTGTGGAAAGGGGCGGGGGCAGAAACCACGCTGCGGGGATGGCAGGGACAGGGTCCCACTGAGCCCCACTGTCCGGCACAGCTGCCCATGTGGCCCGATGTACCCGGAGGCAGGAGGTCAGCACCTGCCCAGGGCAGCATGTGGCAAAGCCGTCAAGGAGGGCGCGTCCTGGTCCTCAAGCCACGCCGTCGGATCAAGGGCAGGTGCTGTGCACCCAGGGGACGGGAGGTCCTGGCCCAGGACGGGGGCGGGCCTGGCCAGAGGCGAGGGCCTTGCTTCACGGAGGACTGCGTAGGAAGGTCTGGGAGGCACGCCAGGGCCCGAGGAGACAAATGTGACCCGGGCTGGGCCTCTGTTTCCCCGGTTGCAACAGGAAGCAGTGACGCCAGGGACACCAGCCCTTGGTACCTGGACAGCCCTGTGGGGCATGGACGGGTGAGAAGGGGGCTCTGCCCGCTGCCGCTTGGGCTGTGGGACCGCATTTCCCAGCCCCTTTGTGGCCGGTCCCAGCCTGGGCTCTGCTGGGCTGAGTCTCTGGGGGCCCCTGCAGACCTGTTCCGTTGGGCAGAGGGCACTGGGCGGGAACTGCTGCTGGGTCTGGGGCAAGAGCCAGCTTTGCAGCCCCAGGAGAACTGGCGTGAGCACTGCCGAGCCCGGGACCCCTGGGCGAGGCGCTGTAGCCCCACTCTGGACCTCGGTGCGTCTGTACAACCAGACAACGCCCTGGCTTCAGGGTGCAGCAGGGTCTGAAGGAGGCAAGGGCAGGGCTGGTGTCTGGGACGAGCTGGCTGCCACTGAAGATGGTGTCCGTGTCTTCTCTTCCAGGGGCCTCCCTGGGCGGCCTGGACAGCCTCAGCCGGGCCCTGGGCGTCCTGGAGGAGCGTGTCAACGGCTCCAGGCGGAGGGCACGCCGGCACGCGGCGGACGACGACTACAACATCGAGGTGCTGCTGGGCGTGGACGACTCCGTGGTCCAGTTCCACGGGAGGGAGCACGTGCAGAAGTACCTGCTCACGCTCATGAATATTGTGAGTGGGGGGGGCGGGGCGGGCTACGGCTTCCTGGTTGGCGGCCGTAAGTGGGTGTCCTGGGAGCCCTCTGGTGCCTCCCAGCTCGGGAAACCCGTCTTCTCAACTGCCCTTCAGGGTAACTCTGACCTGACAAGGCTGTTTGCACACCAAGGCTGTTTTCTTTTCCTTTTGAGTCAAGGTCTCACTCTGCCCCCCAGGCTGGAGCACAGTGCAGTGGGACATTCATGGGTTCTGCAGCCTTGACCTGCTAGACTCAGGCCATCCTCCCACCTCAGCCTCCCATGTAGCTGGGGTTGCAGGCGTGCATCACCACGCCCTGCTCATTTTGTTTTATTTTTGTAGAGACAAGGTCTCGCTATATTTCCTAGGCTGGTCTCAAACTCCTGGGCTCAAGTGATCTTCCTGCCTCAGCCAACCAAAGTGTTGGGATTACAGACGTGAGCCACTGCGTCCAGCCTGCCAGGGTACTTTTCTATGAATCCCAATCATTTATAGACCAGTTTTCTTGATGTCTGCCATTTTTAAAAATGAAAATTACTTACAAAAGAAGTATCGCTTTGCGTAAAAAGTAAACTAAAAGTAAAATGTAAAGCGATATTCAACCCCCGCTGGGTGGTCCTGCCTCTGCCAGCTCTGAGTCACAGCCCGCTTTCTGATAAAAATGGAGATGAGGGTGTGTTAGAGCTGGGCCAGACACCGGCCTGGGCTTCTCCTTGAAGGAGTCAGAGGAATTGGAAACCAAAGCGGGAGCCCCTACCACTGTGAGTCTGGGCTACTTAGCGGGCCGTCTGCTGTCACCCGTGTCTTCCTGGGCACCTGCTTCTTGGCCACCTAAGGCTAAGAGTTGAAAGGCTCACCCCCACCACATTCCAGACCTTCCAGCCCGGGCAGCCAGCACCAGGATGCTGAATAGCTCACGTCAAGGGCCCAGGCCTGACACTGAACCTGCAGCGTGGACACCCTTCCCTCTCGGCAGGCATCAGACCGACTGCGGGGCCATGGGGCACCAGCGCTCAAAGCGCAGGTTCCTAAGGAGGGGGCTGGCTCGGAGCACGGCCCTGCTGGGAGAGTAGGGGCTGGGAGGGAACGAAGGGCCTGGCCTGGTGAGAGCTGGTGGACGGAGTGTGGGGGCAGGGAGGGCTTGAGGGAGGAAGCAGGGCTTGGGGGCTGGAGGGGGAGGGGAAACCAGGCGGCCTGGAAGTTCTGAAGCCCAGGGTGTCGTCCCAGCTTGTCCATGAGTGGGGTCCTCTGGGGTCGGCTGGGGACTGTGGGGTCTGCCAGTGGCCTGACGCCCGGTCCTGCTTCCCAGGCAGGGGTGAGCCCTTGGGAGCCAAGCTGGTACATGCGTTGGCGTCCAGGGCCCTGGTGAAAGGATACACCAGGGGCACGGGGCAAGGGGGATGAGCCCTGGACAGCGGCCTCCAGTCTACCTGTTTGCATCCTCCTGACCTCCTGGGTGTCGGTGGGCCCTCTGACCTCGCCTGGCCTTGGGCGTCTGTGGGCCCTCTGACCTCAGCCTTCTCGTCTGCAGCGTGTGCAGAGTGCATTTTATTTTGGAGCATGGTCACACTTAACCTCATCTTATCTTTCAGAAGAGCCTTTACTGTGGTGAAGATAATATTGGCTGTGGTATACGTGACGGTTTTCCAGCCCGTGCCAGGCACCAGCCGTGCTAGTTATCTTGGGAAATCCTCCCCCAGGGCCGGGAGACTGGAATTCTGCTCAGCCTCTGAGACTTGTGCTCTGTTGCCGCCCAACCTGGGGGGTGGGAGGACTAGGCTGGAATGGAGTTCTATGTTGACTCCCTGCTGCACTTTTCCCAGACTTGTCCTGGGGAACGTGGCTCCTGTGCCCTGAGTCGGGGTTTTCTTATCTTTCAAATGGGTCGGTCATTTCCATCCTGCGGGATGTTGGGAGGCTGGAATGAGGGGCTGCAGTCTCTGGATTTGGCAGACACGTTCTCCATGTCCACATAAAACGTGTCTTTGCCATCATGGCAGCAGCAGTGGGTGATGTGGTGAGCACCCGAGGATGCTTTTGAGGTGTCCTCCGGGACTCTGACAACGTAGGGGCCTCCCCGTGAGCTCTTCACCCCCTCCCTGGTGTAAACGTCCCTCCATCCCAGACCGCCGGCTGGGGAAGTCTAGAACCTTCTCTTGGTTTTGCCGTCAATTTCGTTCATCCGTGCCCTCATGATCCATCCGTACAACCCCCATTTTGGATAATAGGATGATTTCCTTCTAGAAAAGCACAAACTATAGAATATAAATATATATAAATATTCTTAAACTGAAATTAGTGGAGTAGGAGGAGGGTCAGGGACACAGGTGGGGCGTCGGGGGAGGGAGAGGGACACGGATGGGTGAGAGGACGGTCAGGCTGGTGACCGCTGTCTCTGGATGAGGAAAGCGCTTTGAATGTGGCTCTGAGTACACTGGAAACCACTAGAAAGGCTGTTTTCTTTCTACACTAAGGGGCAAGATACGTGAGGCCCTTTTTTCATGGGAAAAGGACATCAATCAGTCTGCCAGTCTTCATCTCCGACTCTGGGAGGGGGCGAGGGTGTGGCCATGTTTGTGGAGCTCATGAGGCTGCCTGGCCTAGACGGGGTCCCATATTAGACCCACCTCCCCACCGCCCCATCCCCACGCCCTGCCAGGTCCGTGTTCTTCTAGCCCTCCTTAAATCTACCACCGTCACTTGTTTGTTGTTTACTAAAATTGTCTGCATTTGACACAGGCAATATATTATTTACGAGGGAACATTAGAATAAACGCATGTGGATGTTTGACTGTGTTCTCCCAGCAATTATTATCTGTGCCTTCATTTGAAGGCTTGATAACACCGCACCATATGACTGTGTATGAAACTCATTATTTGTACGACACATTCCTGTACTCGGACCGGTTTCCCTGCTCGAGGTCAGCCATGCCACCATCTGTATCACATTTCTATGGCTGATCTGTCACTCATTCTTAATTATGTTCTCTTTTTTTTTGAGTTGGAGTCTCACTCCGTCGCCCAGACTGGAGTGCAGTGGCCGCTCCTGGCCACCGCAGCCTCGACCTGCTGAGCTCTGGCGATCCTTCCGCCTCAGCCTTCCAAGTAGCCGGAATTACAGGCATGCACTACCATGTCCGGCTAATTTTTTATTTATTGTAGAGATGAGGTCTTGCCAAGTTGCCCAGGCGGGTCTCGAACCCGTGGGCTCAGGCAATCCACTCACCTCAGCCTCCCACAGTGCGGGATTACAGGCTGAGCCACTGAGCCCGGCTTAATTACGTTCTTAAACTAAGTTCCTAAAAGTGGAGCCCGGTCCACAGATAGGCACATTCTACACTACCCGGAGTGTTCTAGGCCACAGCTTCCTGTGTGCACGGTCCGTTGAGCAAATGCCTGTCTCGACCTCCTCCCACCCCTGAGTCCTTTTCAGCTGTGGTAATTTGATGACAACTGAGATCTACTTTTTGTTGTAAGTTGTATTTACTTGAAGAGAACGAGGCTGCGTTTTTAAATGTAGGTATATTTGGAAACAGATTGTTTCATTTTTTGTGACAGGCCTACTCGTGCCCTTTGTCCTGCTGGGATTTGGGTTTCTTTCTTGTTATCTGAAGCGTCTTTATATTCAAGTAGATTAGCTTTTTGTCTGTCAGATGTCTGGGAAATACTTCTCCTAGTTTCGTTGTTTGTCATTTGTTTTGTTCTGCCTGGGAGAGTTTTTGATGGCTTACATTTTTGTGTGTGGTCAGACCCCGCCACCTCTCACTTCCCACGGGAACAGTGTCCCTTCGGGGTAGTGTGCTGAGCACTCCCGCCCCTTCCGGAGGTGAGCCTTTCGAAGCTTTGCTGTGCTTGGCAGCGGCCACAGCTCCCAAGCTCTGTCCCCTCATGGATCTCCTGACCCTTCTCGCCACACCCGGGTTCAGCCACAGCAGCCTGCTGCCCAGCGTCTCCCAAAGTCAGAGGAAGGGTGGAGGGAGGATTTCGAGAGGCCCGTTTTCCTAGTTCAGGCAGCAGCTGGCAGCCTCGGAGACCATCGGGTATGGCCAGGGGGGTCACCGGCCTGCAGGCAGAGCCGGGAGGCACACAGGGTGCAGATGGAACCTCTTCCTCCTCCTCTTCCTCAGACTCTCTGTCGCTCTTTGTCTCTACTTATCAAGCTTTTCTCATTTGCTTCATAAGGTTGTTCCAAGTAACGAAAAATTGGAATTCTAACTTACTAGCATGAATATTACTGTTCATCTTTAAATTGTTCAATGTCTGTTTTAAATGCAAATGCTAGAGTATTTCACTTGGGTGTTTAATCTCTGAAACGAAGCACATGGTCTTATGTGGCTGATTCCCAGAGGGTGCCTCGGGGTGACTGGAAGTTCACACATTCGCAGCCAGACTCGGGAAGGTTGTGGGGGAAGGAGAGGACCCCCAGATTGCAGCCAGCCGAGGAGCACTCCCTCGGGCGCGGGCACTCTCAGAGGGTACTTGGGGTCTCCCAGCATGGGGGATGCACCCCCCATGGTTCTCCAGCTGCCGGGCGTGCTCCTGCCAGCCACCCTGTAAAAACACACCCCCAGCCGGGCTGAGTGGCTCAGCCTGTCATCCCGCGCCTTTGGGAGGCTGAGGTGAGTGGATTGCCTGAGCCCACGGGTTCGAGACCCGCCTGGGCAACTTGGCGAGACCTCATCTGTACAATAAATCAAAAATGAGCCAGGCGTGGTAGCACGCACCTGTAGTTCCAGCTACTCAGAAGGCTGAGGCGGAAGGATCACTGGAGCCCAGCAAGTCGAGGCTGCAGTGGCCGGGAGCGGCCACTGCACTCCAGTCCGGGCGACAGTGAGACTCCAACTCAAGAAAAAAAACCACATCCCCCGTGCCCTGGCCAGGGGCTCTGGGCGGTCGAGTCACACATGCCCCTTCCCACTCTCACCCCACCCCAGTGGTGTCACTCAGCCCCGGACCCGGTCGCGGGAAGCTGGCCTCCCCCGAGATGCGGGCTCTGG